AAAGACTGACTAAATAAATGATGCATGTGGTAATAAGCACATATAATTTACCACAGGCTGTAAATGATAATGAAAAGTGGACACAACTTATGGTGGCTATACATTACTATTAAGGTTTCATTTATTTTAAAAACTAATATTAAATTATCAAAATGTCTGTAGACTTGTCAGTATGAAATATGACATAAAATACCAACCTAATGAAAAATTTAAGTAGCTCTTGAAATGTAACAAAAATATAGTAGACTTTTTATTCATAGGCACTCAAAAATTGGGATATCTTATACAGTGTGAAGCATTTTTTGCCTGAATATTTGTCTTGTGTACATTTTATCTAGACTCTCTGAGCCTCATTTTTCCCAATTGTAAAACAAAGTTTGTAGGTATTCATTGCTGGGTTGTTTTAAAAACTAAATGGAACAGAGCTTGGCATATAGGAGAAATTTAGCCAAACAATTGCTAGTATTATATCACACCTGAAAAAAATAGCTCAATAGGAAAAAAAGCTTTTGGCAGTATGGTAGTTGGCTCTAAATGAAGCTATTTGATTTTTCCAACTTCTTTTTATTAGGTTTGAAACATCATAAATAAGGAGTATAGTATTTTGATGCCCATTTTTGGTATCATTCATAGCCTTTCCATTTATTTCTAACCTGTTTCTCTCATAAGGCAATATCGTGACAGTAAGTAGAATTGTCAACTTGATTGACTTGGAAGCCACCTAACAGATTGATGAAACACACTTGGCTTAATCTGGGTGGGTTATAAAGGTGTGACCTCAGGTACTATATGTGTTCTCTTTCTGCTTGCTCTCTGTCACTATTCCCTGGTGTTTTGTTTCTCAGCCACCATGAACTAAACAGCTTGCTTGACTATTCCCTTCCACCATGATGCTTCTGCCTTGAAGCCTACTGACCGTGGACGGAATCCCCAGAAACCATGAGCCAAATCAAACCTCTCCTCATTTACTTTGTGGGTGTTGGGTACTTATCCCAACAATAGAAAAGCATATTGCTAAGGAAGGTAATGTTCAAGGAAATTAAGATGATGGTCAAGTCACCAAGTAAGTTTTTGTACCAATAGAATTAGCATCTAAATATAAAGCTTAGTGATGGGTTGTCTGTGTTTCACACGTTGGGATAATTAATCAGGGACCTGAAATACTAGGTGACCGCCCTAGAGATTTGGACCTCCTTGCTTGTGGCTTATGGTCACATATACTTTTCCTTGTTTTTTGCTTTTGAATTTTGAATGATTGCTCTTTGCTATTGTTGTGTGTCAGGGCTTGTTTGTTTCTAAAAGCCAGAAGCTTCCATAATGAGCTGAGAAATTAGTTAGAAATAAATGGAAAGGCAAGATCCAAGCATGAGTATCAGAATGCTTATTGTCTGTAATTTCTTTTCTTTCTTTTTTTTTCAGCTTTGAGTTTATTGGTACATTTTAGGGATACAGTACAGTTACGTTCATTGTTGGGATCTTGTACCTCTACATGACAAGTCTTGATTCTCATTTTTTCCCCTTACCTCTGCCCTCCCTTCACCCCCTCCTCCCCTCCCCATCTACAAACACTTTATTTTCATCTTTTCATTCTCTCACATTTTTTTCTTTTCCCTTTTTACTCTTCCCTTACCCATCCCACCTTCCCTACACCTTTAGCTCCTTTCTTCCCATTTCTAAATGTCAGTAATTTTATTAGAATCTTATGCATTGTTGCAGATTATTTACACCAGGGAAACTATTTGGTATTTACACATGTGTGACTTATTTATTTCACTTAGGAGTATATCTTCAATATGTATCCATTTTCCTATGAATGAATCTATTTTCTCATTCTTTATGGCTGAGTAATATTCCATTTTATAGAAAAACCACAACTTCTTTATCCAGTTTCCAAAGGATGGGCAAAGAGGCTGTTTCCAAGATTTCTTTAAACATTATTTCTTAATATCATAATTTTGGAGGAAATGAAATAATTTTATTTAAAACCAAGTAATGCACTATCAGAAATATCTTTGCTCTATTGCATTTCTTTAGGAGTTATATTAACAAGCACTTAGATTTCTCCTATACGATGCCAAGATTTGTGCATATCTTCCTGCTATGAATTAGTTGAAAGAGACAACTTGTAAAGAGTATAAGAAATCTCTAGTGTTTTATCTATACTTTGCAAAATATTAATTTCTTTGTTTTACCATTTTTCCTTTAGAATTTTAGACCATTGTATCAAATGTCAAAAACTTAATAGTACCTTTAAAGCCTAGTTTGCGTAGTATGCAATCAAGATCAGAGCCTTTTTTTTAAAAATAAGGGATGTTAAAAACTCTAACAAGGGGCTAGGGATGTAGCACAGTGGTAGAGCACATGCCCACTATTTGTGAGGCCCTGAGATCAATCTCCAGTATCCCCCCACCCAAAAAAAGAGTTTAACAAAGTCACATGGAGTGAACATAATATGATATTGACTTGCTAAAGTCAATAATTACCAGCTATGGGGTCAGGGATGTAGCTCAGCGGTGCCCTACTTACCTGCCAAGTGCCAGGTCTTGAGTTTGATTCCTGTTGCTGGAAAAGAAAGAAAAAAGAATAGTTGGCTCTGAAATATTAATAACCCTTTTATTCATATTGCCTTATAATCAAATTTTACAGGTACATTTGCCTTTTCTCAGAAGAAAATAGTCATGAACCTTGTGCTCATATATTTGGGGAAAACAATGTTTCCAAATCCAAGACCTTGAGATGATACTCATTGCAAAGTACAAGTTGATGGGAAGCAGACTCTTTCAAACATGAAAAAAGAAGTATAACCCATCCAAGAAGGATGTTGTGGGATTTTGAGATTTTGCATCTTCTTGTTGATATTTTGCTTAATCCCTAGTACGTAATAACTCATTAACATTTCTTCTAAGGTTCTGTTTCAATTTTTGCTTTGTTCTTTGAAACAGCCTCTTACTATCCACTCCAGAGTGGCCTTGAATTTTCTATGTAGCTCTAGTGGGCCTCGAATTCACAGCAGTCTTCTCACCTCAGTCTCCTGAGTACTGGGGTTACAGGGTTGTGCCACCATATCTGTCTCTTTGTCTTTTTTAATTATATTTTGAACTTTTAAAACTTCAAGTAACTAGGAATCTAAATGTGTAGAATTCTTTAAGAAACTGAATGCCTAGAGAGCATAAAATTCTTTGAAATACTTTTATACTCTGCATTTTAAAAAGTTGGGGCAGGAAATCCTTGTGTAACATCATACCTTGATGACATTTAAGCTTGATTTCCAAAAGACTAAATACCAAAGATCAAAAAATTCTTACACACACCTACTTCAAATTTGTCCCCTTATTGTTACCATTGACAGATTCACATGAATAACTCATTTAACTTTTTTCCTTCAAGTCATATAGTAAATGTGTCTGAACTTTCAATATCTATACTTTCCTCATAATACTATACTTTTTCATGTGCCTTATTCTCAGATACCAAATCATTTCTTTGGTACTTACATGTAACTCAAGTTTGAGCTGTGGAAATAGTTATTGTGGGTTACATATGTGTGTGCGCGTCTGTGTGTGTGTGTCTGTGTGTTACACATACCTTAAAATAATCCAGCAAAATTATTTTAAAATAGTAGTGTTTTCTAGAAGCAGTAATTTTTTATAAGAAAGGTGATCAGTATATTTCACACTTTACAGTTCCCTTTGATATTTGCTTTTCTAGTATTCTTGAGAAAGACACTTATGAACTAGCATTTTAGCATTGTCCCCCATTGAATTTTTCAATTATATTATACTTTTTATTACACTTGAAATTGGAGACACATACTTCTCCAGGACAGCTTTATGCTAAATAAATTCTGCAGAGGTGATATACACAATTTCACAAAAAGAAAATAAGCAAAAATGATTTCTATAGCAAATATTCCCAACTTCTTTACCATAGTATAGGGAAAAAATACCCACATTTTATTGATAAAACCAAGTCTGTGGACTGTGCAGGTATGAATAAAGTGCTACTATAGTTGCATAAGATGTCCTTTTGATTAATTTTTAACTATATGTGTAACATATCACTTCATTTTTCTTAAAATCAAAAGTAGTGTATGAATGAGACATTCTCTGGTTACCACACATCAATAGCTATGTCCATCCTGCATAAAAATACAATTATAGAACAACTAAATGTTCAGTATTCTCTGAGGAAAGCTTGTCCACTGTTTCTAAGTTTTCCTTGTTTCTTGAAGTTCCCTCAGGACAAGAAAAACTTTATTAGAACTACTAATAGAAGCTATTTCTAATTCCTGTTTATATTTGTATAGTATTAATCTACCAGCTATGTATCAGATAGTAACCATTTGAAGCTATTATATCGTAGAGATTTTCCATACATTTCTAGTACTATTATCCCTATTACTGATCAGGAAGTTGAGACTCGGGAAGTATTATACTGTAAATAGTGCATTCCAAGGCCATATCATGGTGGGGAGTGGTGTGGCAGCTGGATTCTTCCTTCACATAGGTTCTTTTCTTGGCATCAAGTCGTTTCAGAGGATCTGATATGGACAAATATAATTGTTTAATATCTTTGATGTATTAAATGACATAAAAGTTTTACATTCTCATTCTAATGCCATTCTGTGGGCATCTTCCCCTTTCTGACAGAATATACTAAAGGTGTAACCACAGATACTGAGTGGGCTCTGTGTACTCAGAAAGGACTCTGTTCGTCCATAAGTTGGATGTCAGCTCGGGTACAAGGCCCCAGGAAGCATAATTAATAGTAGTATAGAGCAATTTCAACTCTTTCGGATATGTTTTTTTTTTTTTTTTTTAGAAAAGCACAATACTTCATTCTCCAAATCCTCATCTTGATCTACTATTAATTAAAACATTCTGGTTTCAAGCTCTTGAGTAGTTTTTTTGTGTTTTATTTTTTGTTGGGTCATTGAAAACTTTAAATGAACCTGCGGTATTTCTTGACTGAGAATCTGCCCTGTTTTTCCCTTTTTCTAGGTCTATTATTAGCAGAAGATTTTTCTGCATAGTTGGCACGCTGTACCTGTATCGGTGTATTACAATGTATGTAACTACACTCCCAGTACCTGGTATGCATTTCAACTGTTCTCCGAAGGTAAACTATTCCTCACTGTAATTTCCCTTTTGTTTGTTGACTTGCTCTGGGGTCCTTTGACTAAGGTTGAAGATGAAAATCTCTTCAGAATGCAGGCAGGTTCCTCTGCCCTTGTCTGGGGAAGTCACTAAGCACTGGAGTCAGCAGCCACACCCTTCTAGAGTTCCCAGCTCTGCGGGTACCCCACTGGGAAGGAAGTGTGTAGTCTCCTAAAAGTGCTGCAAGTGTTTGGGCTTTGTATATGGGGGTAGCTCTTTGATTTTCTCCCAGACTTGTAAAACATCATCTACTTACTTAAACAGGTCTAGAAGCTTCCAAATTCTTTCTCCCTCTTGTAGACAAAAAGTTACATTTCAAATGATATTCTTCCCTCTCTTCTTCTTTCTATTATTCCCTACGGTAGAACAAGCTAGAGAAAATAATCCTATCTCCTGGCAGTCTCCCAGTTCAGATAAAGCCACTGTTTTCTGGAGGTACATGGGGCCGTAGATCTACTACCTTCTCTAGTAGCATAGTTTTTTTTTTAATAAAATTTTTTCCTCTCTTATTGTCTCTACCTTTCCTTTCATTAATGTAACCCTCTCTGCCCCCTCACCTTTATCTTGGAAGAATGTTTAACTATAGAGATCATTGGAATTTCATGAAATAGCAGATGATTTAATTTTTAAAATGTTTACATGCATTAAAACTCTTTAATGCAGTAAGGAATAGAAGGGGCTAGTTTCCCTTCCTTTTTTTTGATGGAAGAAAATAAGAGCCTCTCTAATGTGTTTGAGATCATTTCTCTGCAATGCCCCTGTGATGGCAGATACTTTCATTTCTTTGTCCTTCTGTACCTTCCAGAAGAGACATTCTTTAAGAGAGAAGCTTTGAAAAGGAGGCTGAAAATTCCCTCTGGATTTTTAAAGTGGCATCCTTTTATGAAATTTTTTTATCTTGTTAGTTTTTGTACTGTTGTCTCCCTTCCTTTCTAGACTTCTGTGTCTATAGAGGTGGCTAGTTTTTTTTTTCTCTTCCATTTTTTGCTGCATACCACTTCGTGAACTCTGCAGAAGCTTCACACAGAATGGATGTTCTCAGTTTTCCACTCATCTGTCAGCAGTCCGACCTCCCTGCACTCTTCTTCTTGCTGTTTCCTCAGTCCTTCCCAAGGATCCAACTTTCTATCTTTTTAAAGCTCTCCAGCGCTCACTACCAGCTCTGAGTTTATAGAAAACACCTTGCTATCAGTAAGAATCCAGTGATGTGGACCCTTCCTGCAAATAGGCTTAATTAGTAGCATGCTCTCAGTAGTATATGACAGTTTAGGTCATTGGCCTAAGTGTATTTATCTTCTGAGAAGAGCCTGGGAATTGGGACATTTTAATGCAGAGGGGGAGGTAGAGGTGGATTGCAAATGAACACACACTGAAAATGGGTCAAATACTGTGGGGTCATACTATGTAACTTTTCCCCTCCCCTCTCTGCTTTTAGCCTTGTGTCTTAGTGAGGACCTTTGAGGCTCCATCCCATTTCTGGCAGGCCGGGTCTTGAGCCAGGGTTACTTAATAGTCATTTTAAGACTCAGCCTGTCTAACCACAATCCTGTGGATAAGAATAGGGTTCAAGTTTTCTTGGGAAAGGTAGATAGCAGAAACAATGCACAAAAACTAAACTCTGAGCCTATCACTCATTTATCATGTTGCCAAAAGTGCATGACTCTGTCACAAATTTCTGGAAACAAATCTAAAAAGAAAAGAGTAGGAAGTGAAATATTAGCATGCCTTAGCAAAAATTAGTGGTTAAGACCTATTAAACGTAGTTAATTCTGTTATAATAATAAAAGACTTAATACAAAATTTATTCAGAAAAATTTTGAATTTATTTCATAGAGACCAGTATAAGGGAATTTCACTCACCTAACACCTAGATTAATTAATTATCAAGATTGGTGAATTTGGGTTATCTTTTCTTCCTTTTCCCCTTCACATTCCCCTTCCCTTTCTCCCTAGACCTTCATCAGTGCACACTTTATTATACATAAAACTGTGGACATGACACTGTTGGTATTCAACAAAATTAACAATAATTCTTTGGTTTCACCAGTTAATCAATTCATATATTTTTTGATTATCTTAAAATTCCTTTTTTAAGCAGTTGATTCGTATGAATTCAGATCCAGAGTCTTTACATTTGCTTGCTCCATCTTTTAAATCTATAAAACAGTTCTTTATTTTTTTTTTACCTGCCAGTGACTTATAGGGATCAGATTGCTGGTCCTGCAGAACAGTACAGAACAGTACAGAACAGTATAGAACAGCCATGTTCCGGATTGGGCTTACCTATCTTTGTCTTTGTGCTATTGGTTAACTTGTTCTTTCCTCCACATTCTGAATAGATAATTGGCTCTGGAGGCTTTATTATATTCATTTGTAACATTTTGGGAAAGAACACTTCAACAGTAGGACAGAAAGACTTACAAAGCTGGATAGAAAGATTGAAAAAGTTTTGAAAACTCAAAAGATGACAATTCAAACTTTAAAAATCCAAAATTTGAATGCTGCACTGGGACCAGTGTCAGAAGTGAGAGAAGAGTAACATAGAGAGACCTCAGGGACCAGCTGCCTACTTCAGAGTCATACCTCAACTCAGGGAATCAGAATTGAAGGGAACCTTTTTAAAAGTAAATTGATCCAGTGGTATAAAAAGAAGATATCTGAACATGAACACTGCCAGGACTTCATTAACCTCTCTTTGAACCATTACACAGAGAAGAACTTTCTTAGCTCTAGAAAAATGTAAACTACTTAATAGTGGACAGAATGCTGAACATAGAGCTAAAATGGATCTATACTTTACAGAGTGGCAGATTTATACTTTAGCTGGGTAGCAAATACGTTGGACAGGTCATTAACCCCATGTCTTGGGTCCTTTATTGTTGAGACAGGGCTCTGTCACTTGTAAGGTGATACACAGAAATAAGAAGAGGACTTGGTATTGTTGTCATGCACCAACCCCTACACTCTTTTTTTCATCCAAAGAGAATTGATTTAACAACTTGCATTAAGTACCTGCTGTATTTTAGGTGCTAGAGTACAAGGGGTGAGCAAAGTAGATAAAGCCATGTCACTGTGGGAAACACCTTAAAATTCACCCAGTTCAGACTTGTCCCTATGTAAGGAATTTTTTAAATGCTGTAAGTCCTCAAGGTATTTAAGAGGTCAGATAAATACAGTTTGGTAATAGAGTTGATGTACAGAACGAATAAAAAGGGAAAGATTTTAATGACAAGGCTTTCCTACTGGAATGATTATAAGAGGGAGGAATGTGGAATTAATGACTTTGGATTGAACACATGGAGTGTAAGATACTTGTGAGATAGTTAAGTGGTGATGTCCACGACAGTTAGCAATGAAGCTGAGATGGAAATCAGGACTAGATAATAAATATTCATGATTTATCATCTTTTGGATGGCAGTTAAAGCTGTGGATATGAATAAAAAGGCCCAGAGACAGGATGTAGAAAATACAGAGCTTCCACAATTATAATTTTGAGATTTGAGGTATCACTGAAGTCAGTTGATATACTTAAACTTACTCATCACTAATCTTTGAAGCTGAGCTTTAAATATACAACTTTCTAATGTGATCATGTGACTTATAAACTTGGTACCCCATAACATCAATCACCATGCTTCTGTAGTTAATATTTTCTTTCACACCAGTGCTCAAAATGCACAGCTTATAAGAAAAATGTTCAAGTATACAGTAGCAATGATAAAAATTGGTCTTGTTCATTTGATGGCAATGTACCTCACAAAATACAACAGCTTGAGAAACAATGATCATGTAGGATGATTAAGTCAGGAGGAAGAGCAGGCCTCTTCCTCTCAGCATTGCTGAGACAATGATAAGCCACCAAGGAATGTGGTGGGGAGGTAGGTGTATTTACTTCCTGCATTTTGAATTTCTGCACAGCCGTCTGTCTTGTATCCCAGGGGACATGTGTGCCAGGCTTGCGCTGGAGGCTGTCAAGTGCTTGATGCCTTGATTGGCCCGTTCTAACCTCAGTACAGGTTTTCTCCAAAAAGCATGTGTTCTAGCCCTGAAATAATCTCATCTTGTCACAGGGTTTATGACTTGCTTTCATTTTTAAAAAGCAGACATTTGAGAACTCTTTGATGTTCTAAGCTTCCTGTAGGTGTTTGTATTTTGTTTTAACAATTATTATAAAAAGAGAATAGTTTCCCTGGTGTGAATAATCTGCAACAATGCATAAGATTCTAATAAGATTACTGACATTTAGAAATGGGAAGAAAGGAGCTAAAGGTGTAGGGAAGGTGGGATGGGTAGGGGAAGAGTAAAAAGGGAAAAGAAAAAAATGTGAGAGAATGAAAAGATGAAAATAAAGTGTTTGTAGATGGGGAGGGGAGGAGGGGGTGAAGGGAGGGCAGAGGTAAGGGGAAAAAAATGAGAATCAAGACTTGTCATGTAGAGGTACAAGATCCCAACAATGAACGTAACTGTACTGTATCCCTAAAATGTACCGATAAACTCAATTAAAGCTGAAAAAAAAAAAGAAAAATATGTGTATTCTAGTCCTCAGATACACAGCCTAATGCTAATCAAGGAGAAGAATAATTTACTGTATTCAACTCTCATTGTAATTATTGATGAGTTAATCTAACAATGACTAAGCATTAACACAAGATACATATTGGTCCTGTTTTATGGTATCGGTGGTGACCTTAGGTTTGAAAGCCTTTGAAAAGAAATTACACCACAGTTAGAGGCCTTAAGCCGGCTGATGCATTTATTGGAGGCAGAGTTTTCAGTGAGTTGATTCCTAGAACTTTAAAGACATGTTGTTTTTAAACACATATTGCACTTTTGTACAGGGGTCATGTTTGGGTGGCAACCAAGGCTGATTGTCAGTGGAGCAGTAAAGTACAAGAGCAACGGCAGAAAGACCTTCATATTCTTCTGCCATGTCAGCTTGCCTTAGTGCACTGATTCGAAAG